TACTACTACTACTACTATTATTATTAGTATTATTATTGCTTCTATTATTATTGTTGTTGTTTATAATTATTGTTTATAATTGTTATTTATAATTTGTACAATTAACCTCCATGTGGTTCGACCCCGGTCTTGCCGAGTTATTTATTACTTCGACACTCCTGCACTTAGGAGAAGACATCAATCTTTTCGTCGTGTCACACACTTTTGAGTTTTTTTATTTACATTTATAGTCTATAAAGTATAGCTTGATCAGTTTATTTTATGAAAGAAATAACTAGTTTTAAGAAATTAATAAATGGTTAAAGGATTAAATTATGGTTTGTGAAGCTATGTATATAAAAATCTACACTACCATATCACTAAACATTACTTTACAATGCTCATCTATTTGGGAACGCGGTGTGAATCGTGTTTTTAAAAATTTTAATTTTTTTTGTTAAAAGTTATTGTTTTATATGTTTTAAATCGTTTTGATGCGTTGATTTAAAAAATAATTTTTAAAAAATAAAAACATTTATTTTGATATATTTCAGCATAAAAATATTTTAAAAAGTAACCATAACTACATTCTCAAACTAGATATAAAATAACTAGGGTTTATTATAGTATTGCACAATTTACATTACCAAGATAGAATGTTAATATTTTTTTTCATTGTTTTATAATAATTATGTGTACCGGCTCAATCAAGCATGGCATATAGAGATTGTAGGTGATTAATATTTAAAAGTGTATTTTTATCAAGGTTTTATATCATTATTTTGCACTTAAAGTATCAATAACTTATTAACTAAAACATGTTTTATAATAAACAAGTCTGATACTAACACAACCAGAAGATTAATGTCTTCTTCCAAGTGTAGGAGTGTTGAAGTAATAAATAACCTAGCAAGATCGAAGGCGAACCACAAAGAAGTTAATTGTATAAATTATAGATAACAATAATACAACAACAACAATAACAACAACAACAAAAATAGTAATAGTAGTAGTAGTAGTAGTAGTAAAGAAGAAGAAAAAGAAAAAGAAGTTGATGAGAACTTTGAGATGGAAGATTAATATAAGGATTAAATAATGATAACAATAAATGTCAAGGTTAGAGGATCCACTAATTATATTTCAAACAAGTATAGTATAAACTCTTATTATTCAATTAGAAACCACACATAAAGGAGGTTCTAATCAGATATAAATTGTTAATATGATTACATTAGTTATCATATTCGAATAATGCTAATACTTGTAAATATTATCAGGCATTCATGATTATAACTTATGTTAACAACAAATCAAGTTCCTTTCATAGCATAGGTGTAGGTTGTACCATACGGTTGGAGTATAAAAGTGTTAAGTGTTTGTTGTGTTAATTATTTATTGTACCAAGTATTATACAACATAAATCTAGATTAACTATTTAACAAGCAAAGTATTAAAAGTGAACAAGATAACAAATACAAAACATGTTAGTATCAAACATTAAAGTCCATATTAAGTTTACATTATACTTATTCTTACATCATTAGTGTAATCTTTTCACC